GCTTCGTGTGCAGGTGGAGTCTCCGGACCTCGGTCCCGGCCCTAATTCTGTTCAAGAGCTAATCTCCAATCCTTTCGAAAGGAGAAGTTTGGCAGATAAATTGTTGCTTAAAGACCTTGCACCGGACCAACCCGATTTGAATATATCGCAGCAATCTCGTGAAAAAGACAAAATTTATACACGAGGCTTCACAAGTAGCTGGTTACACAAGAAAGGCTTGGCTAGCTGGATGCAAACAGGTAAATGCTGTCTTTTGTTTCCCATGCTTGGATATCACTTTATATGTAGAGAGGAGGTTTCCCATGGTTGTTAGAAGTTATTAATAAGTGGGCATTTATCACAGAAGTGATTGTTCTGTCTCCACGTTTGTTGCATTTGTCTGTGATGTATTTTCCAACGGTTATAGCTCCTGTTCTGTTCCCAGGCAACACTACACGGTTTGCAGCTCCACCACATTTTTGGTTTATCTTCGGTGTCGGCTTAAAATCTGCTTCCCATCGGACTAAAACCTCCACGTAATCTGAAGACAGATACTTGAAGTTATTTAAACCTTTTGCAAACTTTATGTTCTTTCTTGCTCTAGCCTTGCCAGTTACATTGTACATAACACATATATTATCATTATGCTAACTGGTTGTTCGTGTTAGACGATGTAGCTTTTTCATTTCTGAGTTATTGCTATATGTAAATAAGCCTGTTTGTAAATAATCCTCAGAGAAACAAAGAAAAAACACAATTTATGACATTTTGTGCTGTGGTTATTTTTTTTAAATTGCATTTATTCACAGTTCAGTTTGAAATGCTGTAGTGACTTGTATTGAACCACTTAAATATTTATAATTAATGCTACTGAAAAGATGCTATTAATTTTATATCTCACATGCAGTTCACTGTAAAGCTACTTGGTGAAGGTGTTGGTTCATAAAACATGAACAGTTTTAAGAAAGGAAAAAAAACAGACCAGTTCTGAGAACACAAATTCCTGGTACAGTAGTAGATGTTCAGGTTGATAAATAATATTTTCCACACTGAAGATTATGGAGGTATTGATCAGTCTTCTCATTCATTTTTAAGCCTCGATTTCTCCTTTCCCCCCCCCTCTAACATCACCAGAAGTCATCATTTAAGGGGTCATTTCTCGAAAAAAATTCCGGGGGGAAACCCCCCGGGTAGGTCACTTACGGTACGTCAAGAGCCCCCACCAAAAAAAAGACCACCGGCCGCCACTGCTCGCCAGACTGAAATTCACCACAGTACACCAGCAGAGATGAGGGCAGCGTTCCAGTCAAAGAATCCAGAAAATCTCCTTCACATCACACAAAAAAAGACCCGACCTGACAACAAGGCCAAGAGTCAAATGAATGCTTATACAATGGTTTAAATGCAAATTGAAACAGCACTTCTCTGTATATTAATCAAATCAACAAAATACACTGCACATGTTCCTAAAATCCTATTAAACAACAATTCTAAATACAACAATTATCAGTCAGCTTATTTAACACATCTGTCACACCATGTTATTATTTTAAACAAAGTGTACTAAACTCATTTTCGGCCAACCTATAACCAGCCACAGTTAGCTCCACTTTGCTCATATTCCACAACAATTAACAGACTAAGCTGTGGTCAATGCCCCTTCAATGTGCACAACAGGCGGCAAAGCAACGTGAAGACCACCGCCAAAACCACAGACAATAGAGCGGTGCAGTGACTTCACGTCCCTCCGCCCCACACACATTAAAGCAACACGGATACACGCTAGGCTAACGCGTTAGCAACGGTTAGCCGCGGCTAATTTAGCATTGATAATTTCATTAAAATACATATTTAACATCCGTATTTTCTCATGCAACTCACCAAGGGTATCATATAAGAGGCAATGCTCTTGGGGAAAAGTAGAAAAAGTCGGTCAATCTAAGTGAAAAGTTGTTAAAATAACTACAATTAAAATCTATAGAGCTAATGCTGCTGAGTCATTATCCCAAAAGGATAAACAGCCATCTCACTTCCTGTTAGACAGCAGACACGGGGCGGGTCTAAACTTTGATTGGCTTAGCCCTTGCTTTACAACCACTTTAGATGGACAGGGGATTTATCTAATCACACTCATTTAAATGTTTTCATGAAGAATGTCTAAATCATTTTGTCCTAAATTGCATATTGTGTATCTATATTGTTTCTATTTTAGTTTCAAATAATTTATATTATTTGTGTATGTAGTGCTAAGCATTAAAATAAAGTTGACATTTTAGTCAATGTTATTTCTCAGTGTCTTAGTAACCGGGGGTTACTAAACATGAAAATTGCTATATATGGGTCGAAAATAGTAAAAAGCTACATTTTGAAGTCATGTCATAATTACTTCTTTCACACCATGTTACAGCATGGACCAGCATGAAGTCCATGCTGTTCCATGCTGGTATGCCGGTTTTTGCGCCGGCAGACCAGCATAATGACCAGCTTCACCAGCAAAGACCAAGCATGGGCCAGCATGGACCAGCATGAAGTCCATGCTGGTCCATGCTGGTCCAAGATGGTCCATGCTGGTCCATGCTGGTTTTGCGCCGGCAGACCAGCATAACGACAGCTTCACCATCAAAGACCAGCATGGACCAGCATGAATTCCATGCTGGTCCATGCTGGTTTTTTCAGCAGGGAAGTCACTTCTACTGGTGAAACTAACCAAGTGAATTCACTTCTACTGGTGTAATGAAACTAACCTATCAGACTCCAAACACCACAGTTACTACAGGTTTCTGACCCGATGTCTCATCCTGAACAGGCTCTGGGTGTCCACGTGCGGACTGGTCACGTCTTCATCGTCCGACACGTACACGTGATCCCAGGCCGCTGTAATCGATCCCTGCTCCGGTGCTCATCTTCCGGCTCTTTCTGCTGTTTCCTCCACAGGTTTTCACTTTCTGTTCACGGTGAAGTAGAGGTTTAGCTGGGACGTTACACCGACATGGCGGCAGCAAATAGGACAGAAATCAATAGTTTTTAAATCCTCTTAGTGAGGCGAGCCGGTTACAGAGATCCCCTCTTATCCAATCAATCACGTCATGACGTCAGCGTGTCGGAGGGTTATTTATTGAAGAAGAAATTTACTCCACATTTTGACTTAGAGTTACAAAAATATGGCACCTAATTACAAAAGAATAAGAAGGCAATTAAAACCAAATGGGTATTTGATAAATAGTTTTACTTGAAATGTTTTTTGTTTCACTATTTTCTTGATTCTTAATATCTCTTTCTTTATTTCTTTGTAATTGTTTTTATTATTATTTTGTATTATAATGTGTACCTGATTTCCCCCCTGATTTCAATGTGTGTGTACTGTATATAATGTTTGATCTTATTTCTTGAATAAAAAAAAAATATATATATATACATTTATATACATAGTGGAAGAAGTACTCAGATTTTTTCTTGAGTAAAAGTAGCAATACTCAATTGTAAAAAATACTCAAGTAAAAGTCCTGCAATCAACATCTTACTCAAATAAAACTTCAAAAGTATTGGCTTCAAAATATACTTAATGTTCCAAAAGTACTTATTGTGCGCAATGTCTCATTTTACAATCATATATAGATACACATGTACAGGTTTTTTTCAAATACAAATGCACAGACAGCAACTATAAACATTTGGCCCATAAAAACACATATTCACAAAACATGCATTAATGAGGATGTGTCACAGCAGAGGGACTCCCATCCCATGTTTTGTCTATTTGCCATAGGTTTCACTTTCGACATCCAGTTGTTTGTGCGTTGACAGGCTCCAGGATCAAGTTAATGACACACAAACGACAAAAAAGCTTGCAACATAAACATGGAAGCACAGGCCAGGATGCACAGATTTTTCCTCTGGAAGTGGTTGGGAAGTGATCACACTGTAAACATTCCCACAATATTCAATGATAGTTTGCAAAAATAGAAAATCTGTCATTAGGTTCGTTGTACATAAGACTATCGGAGATACAAATGGAGCTGCTTTCTTTCCAGTCTAATATTAATGAAGGAAAATCTATTCTGTAAATCTGTAAACATATTTTTGATGTGGTTTTTATCAGCTATGCCAAGGCTTCTTGATCAGTAGTTTCTCTATCATAAATGATCAAAATAAAATGTCCTTTTCCTTTCCTTTTCTCTTCTCCACGTTTTTCCTGGTCTGAGAGGAGAGGGGTTAACTTAGGATTGGTAAAGAGTGAAAGGGAAAATTCATTCATTTACTCCACCCTAAACAAAGAATCCTGGCGTTTCCCGTAAAAGCGTTAAAGATCAGAAAGCTTCCATTGTCCTGGAGTAGTCTGGCTAACAGAGCGATGAACAATCTTATAAACAGGAAATCAATAATTAGGTTTTCCCCTAGCAGTTTTGGGGTTTACCCTACTTTCCATTTTGTCACACTGTAACACTGTGTGTTAGACTTAGTCATCATGTCAGATCAGTCCATTGGAAATCTCAAAAAAGGTTTCTGATATACTTTAGTTAACATAATGAGATAATAAAAGGCAGAGAATGTGGTGTTTTACATACTGGTGTGCTGTTTTAACCCTCCAGGTCCATGTATTTGTGAAGTAAAATGCAATAAATCATCCATTAAAGACACAGGAATACATGAGAGTCATTTATTTACATGTTAAAACAAACCATTCACTTTCTTATCAAATATCCAGTAAGCAGTTCTTTATTATACAGTTTTTGCACCCACCATAACTCGCCTCATGTGCACACACACACACACACACACACACACACACACACACACACACACACACACACACACACACACACACACACACACACACACACACACACACACCACACACACACACACACACACACACACACACACACACACACACACACACACACACACACACACACACACACACACACACACACACACACACACACACACACACTTTTTAATATGTTTTAATGGAGATATACACAGTGATAGATGTTAAGGACTAACGTTTATAATGAATACATTTCTATTTATTTTAAGATCTTTTCATACAATCATACGTATTGGGATTCGTGTGGACAAGCATAAGTTTCACTTCACTTTTTTTATTACAATTCCAACCTTGTTCATGAAGAATATATGTTTCACTGTTGTCCACGTTCATAAAATACAGTAGTCCGCTGTTCTTATTCTACATCCATGTTGTAGTCCGCTGTATAGAAAACTGTAGTTTCCCCACAGCAGACGCACATTCATGACGTCCGCTGGCGCATCATAAATACGTCGGATAGTGAAAGTGCAGTCGGATTCTCAAAGCACCGCAGTCTCTTTTCCCAAGTCCTTTTTAATTCTTCTATCCACTATCCCTTAACCCCGTGACGCTTCACACAGAGGTCAAGGAATAATGGATAGGAAAATACGATAGGAGCTGATTTTTTGACTATTCGACTGCAACCATGGTCTCCAGCAGACTTACTCAGCAGTGGGAATAGAACTGTGTGTTGTGTGTAAACGAATACGATCCCCCAGGTTGTACGCTCCCTTTTTATAGTATCTATGGTAACTGATGAATACAGTCAACCCCACAATGACAGCCAGAAGAACAGCTGCTACCACCAGACCTATGATGAGAGCGAGGTTGTCGGCTGTGGAGAGAAGGGTAGAGAAAAAAAGGAACATAGAATATAAAAGGTCAGGCCAAATACCAAAATAGTAACAATGAACTTCCTTTCTCATGTCACGTGTTAGAATACACTCTCCACTGCTGTGAGAAAGTAACACTGAGAGCGACTTTGTGGTTACTTTACAGCGACAATTATAACCCTGAAGACTTTACTTAAAACTCAACTTGAACAACCACGTTAAAGCCAGCTGACTGAGGGGAATGTGTACTTATCTTTTCAGCCTTTTGTCAGCTTTTGGGCTGCTCCAAAATGCAAAATGACAGACTGACTATCCACATTATTAATATTCAGTAACAGTTAAAACCCTGAAGACTTTACTTAAAGGGGACATATCATGCTATATTTGAACAATATATTGTAGGGCCATACCTATATAAAGTATATAAATATATATATTTTTTCAAAATACCAAACAGATCATGCATTTTAGCCATGCCTCATTTCGCTCTATTTGCTCTTTCCAGCCCTGTTTTTGCAGGGGGCTGATTCTGTGAGCTGCAGCTGACCACGCCCCCCTGCAGGAGCGTGCTTGAGATCAGCTTGCTGGGCTGTCAAAATCGAACTGAAACTCTGCCGCACGGTCCCCTCGTTCCTTGGAAGAGGCGGAGAGGTGGGTGTTTGTCATCTGCTGGTGGACTAACCGGAGAGAATTACAGTGCTTGCCTCGACGGGGAGGGATTGCATTGAATTACAGGAGCAAACGCTTGCCTCGGGGAGGGAGAAAAAGAGCCACAGCGGAGAATAAACAGAAGGGCAACCATGGCAACCATGCACAGGAAGTCTTCTTCGCTGCTTTTTGTGGCAGACTACAGCGCCACTTACAGGCCTGGCATATGTACTACAGCATCTCCAGCGCTTTCGAGCGGCAATGGCCGGCCGTGGCCCAACCCCACATTCCCCTGGTGGAGAGTTGACCACTAAGCGCACCACTTCTGTGACGTAGAAAATAATTCAAATCTGGATCAGTCTGTATCAGATCCACTGCAGCCCCTTTTTAGAGATTTGGGTATGGAGGAAAAGAGAGAGGGTTGTGTTTTCTGACACTTGGTGAGTTCCCCTGGAACACCGGGGACACATATTCATGTATAAAAGACGTACAAAAGTGCATTTTGCATGATAGGTCCCCTTTAAAACTTAACTTGAACAAACATGTCAGCTGACTGGGGAATGTCCTTAATAAATAAACGTGCAAGTCATATTATAATTATTATGATATTTGTTTTTATTATTATATATATTTTTAGTATTATTATTCTTTGTTATTTTTAGAATTATTATTTTATTAATTTTTTATTATTTTAATTATTATTTTTGTTTTTGTTAATTTTTTTATTTACAATAAAGGACTATCCACATTATTAATAGTATTATTATATTATATTATCATAATGATTCTTATTAATTTTTTATAAAAGTAATATTATCCTTATTATTAATATTATTATGTTCTTTCTTTTCTTTTCTTTTTTATTGCTGTTTATAAAATTAATTAAAGGTTAATCTGATCGTTTTATATATTGAACATGCATCAGTTTACAGGAAAAGTAAAATATATACTTATTGACAGTGAACGATTGTTATCTGTCACATATACCTATGAAGGGCGCTTCGCGATTGTCAACAGGGGGGGTGTGGTAGTGGAGTACAGAGCATCATGACCGCGGAGCGTGTGAGCGTTGTGATCAGCTGTTTTAGCGCAGGGCTGCTGTACACTACAGACCAACGTTAACAGCAGCCCTGTCTGTGCACACGGAGACCGACTCTGTCGGCCGGTGATCTAACCGCCTTCTGGAAAAGCTTCACAAGTACGTCGGTACGCAAATGCGCTTTGTGACACAAGTGACGGTACGCATTTCAGATTGTTGCCGCGCATGCGTACCTGCGTACCAGTTATGTGCACCCCTGTATATATCTATCTACGGCAGGGGTGTCCAAACTTTCACCGAGGGCCACATACAGAACAATATACGAAGGGCTGGGCCACTTATAGAGGTGAGGTATATTGCCTCGTAAGTTAAGTTATAAGTTAGCAAAATGTAGGTCAATTAGGCTTGATACATTCATATGCTTTAAGAAAAAAACATCCTACATCACAGCTCTCTATAGGGTTTCATTTATCTTGTTGGCAGCTCATTCCTTAAAACAGAAGCCTCAGATTGATTATAATAAGGGGAAATATGAAGGGTCTATTTCAAGATTGTTATGTAAATAAGTTATTGGGCTTCTCTTATCAACTAAGCTTTGTTAGAAAATGTTTTCAACATTAATTGACTGAATTCATTTTAAAAGTGGGCTCATTAACACATTAATACTACTGTGTAATATATTGTTATATATATATATTTAAGAAGTACAATATAAGAAAAGCACAAGTTTAATTTGTGGGCCATATTTCATTATACTTTCTGAATTTGCTGAGGGCCGATTCAAAATGGCCCGCAGGCCGCATTTGGCCCCCGGGCCGTAGTTTGGACACCCCTGATCTACGGTATCTATCTATTTAAAGGGATCTGGTCCATCCTACATCCAATACATTGTCAAAGCATACACTCCAGCACGTGCACTTCGCTCTGCATCTGCCAATCAGCTAGCTGCTCCCTCTCTGTGAAGTGGAACCAGGTAAACCTCAACAAAGACACGCCTCTTTGCTATCCTGGCTCCAAAATGGTGGAACGAGCTTCCCACTTATAACAGGACAGATGAGAGTCTCCATATCTTCCATCGCACACTGAAGACCCTGTTTCATTATACCTTGGTGAATAGTCCCAAAATGCTATAGCTAAATGTAAAGTAATGTAATGTAAAACAGATTTTCTTTGTAACTTCCCTTAATGTATCTTACAGCTAGTTACTTGTTACTTTAAAACCTAAGATTTAAGCATAAACAACACAAGAGTTAATGAAAGAGATTTTAACCTTCTGTGCCTCAACATGTCTGCGAATACCCCAATGTATGAAGCTTCGATGTGTCTTAAAAACAAGTGGTTAAATCTCATCATTCTTCTTTTGCATGTGATCCATTTCAGTTATAATTGTATTTGTCGGAGCAGTCATATGCAAGGTCTCTATTCTGCTGCAACTTTTACCCACATTTTCTATCGCAATTTCACCGCAGTCACAATCGCCATCTCACTTCAACTGTTGGTACTATATTTTTGCGCTTGTTTATAATAAATTGTCAAGTGAACGGAAGGAGGGGAGCCGTTTTGTTTAAGTTCCTGTGGTTTGCCCCTCTCGCCTTTTTTTTGACTTCCTAGAGCCGCTATTGATATGAGCTGCTCTAAGTTAAAGATCATGAACACTTCCATCACTGCAGAAGAGGCCAACCTTATAAAGAATGATGTTAAAGGGGCCCTATTCTGCTCATTTTAAGGTTCATATATTAGTATGTAGTGTCTCTACTGGGACATGTCTCCATGCTTTAATGTTCAAAAAGCTCTTTATTTTTCTCATACTGCCTGTGTTGCAGCACCTCTTTTCACCCTCTGTCTGAAACCAGAGCCCAGTCTGCTCTGATTGGTTAGCTGGCCGGCTCTGTTGTGATTAATTAGCACATGATAACAAGGCCCTACGTAGCTGTACGTAACAGGATGTATGATTATCAGTTCTGTTTTAGGCATATGATAGCTATGTGGTTAACATGATGATTCAGCCTCTATGGAGATAGACATATGACAAGCATGATCATTTCTGACGTGGAGCTAATCTGAACTAAACATTGAATACTGCTTTCTATTCCTCCATCTTGTGACTGTGTAACTCCCTCTCTTGTATATCAGCATGTGAAGGACACTGTTCAGGAACTAAATGCTCTGTATGTGATGACTACTTCCATTCTTGAGAGGATAATAAATACATTTATCCTGATTATTGAAGCTCAAGCCGTGTGACGAGTGATATTTTCCTAACAGTTACATAGCGATGTTTTTAGTTTACAGAAGTAAACAAAGGAGTCTAATCGAGGCGTTTCAAGGAGACGAATAGACAAAGCTATATATCACTCTACAGGAAAGGAACACTGGAGCTGTTCTCCGGGTTGGGAAGTATTCCAGCACTTCGCCCCGTTGCTGTACAATCAAACATGTGTTGATTCGCCCAGCCAACAGGCCACGGCAGCCTACCTCAATCGCCAGGAAGGACAGCCGTTTATGCTAAACCGGCTTCATGCCTAAGGCTAAGGTCATCACAAACTTTTTTAGGTCAAGAGTGATCACCCTGGCTGGCTTCTTTCCCCCTCCTCAAAGCCAGAGGAATGTTTCCTCCTCCACGGCTTTGCACGGAGGAATGTCAGTGGAAGACATTTGCACTGTTGCATCTTGGTCTTCTCCCTGTTCATTTATTCAATTTTATTTGAGGGATGTCTCCCATTCCTCTCTGACACACCCTGTGCTGAGTGTCCTGTCAGAGTGAGTGACGTCAGGGATCCAGCTGTGCGCCTCTCTCCTGCCTCGGCACACGGAGAGTGGCCTGTATTTCCCTCTTATGAGAGGGACGTCCCCCTTTTTTCCCCTGACACATTTCGTACGGAATGTCTTGTCAGAGTGAGTGATGTTGGGGACCCAGCTGTGCGCTCTTCTGCCTGTCTGCACACAGAGAGCTGCTATTCCCCCTCCTTCTGTCACTGGGCAAAGTGTGACTTTTCGTCTCTACTTTCTCACAGCGGACGGGTATGTATTATTCCCAGCCTTCGTCCTCTCATGGTAAATATTCATGTTATGATATATTCCAGGGACTGTGATGCGCCATTCGCATGGCGCAATAGGCATGGGTTATTATCTGAGCAGGTGTGTTTGTGCTTCTTGTACCGGGGAGACCCAGTGGGGCGCAGACTACATCTTGCTTCGCCCTTAACCCAATAGCGATAGCCTTAGAGGGCGAAGCCATATACGAAATAGAACTGAAGTTACCTTACTGTAACTCCAGCTTCTATGAGTATTGGCGTAGCCCTCTAAGTTCTGGGCCCCACTGGCTCCACGAATAGCTGAAGAAAAGTTGTTTTGTGTGGGAGCAGATTGTCGGGCCTCCTTCCTATTTATACCGGAAGGGAGCCCGAGGGTGGGGCCCACCTTGCGGGCGGGCGTGGACTACAAGTGTTTCAGTGCTGCGCGGGTGCGCAGGGGGATTACCCAATAGCGATAGCCTTAGAGGGCTACGCCAATACTCATAGAAGCTGGAGTTACAGTAGGTAACTTCAGTTTATTGATATCAAATGTGAACTACATATACATGGATGAAATACATTTAATTTCCCAGATATCTGGTGTGAGATGAACTCACACTAGAGCAGAGAATAAAAGCAGGAAACACATCATGAAGCTGTGGAGCCGTTTGCTGCTGGTACCTCTGTTTGGAGTTGTTGTTGTTGTTGTTGTTGTTGTTGTTGTTGTTGTTGTTGTTGTTGTCTTTGTGGTGGATGAGGTTGATGTTGTTGTTATCATTGTGGTGGATGAGGTTGATGTTGTTGTTGTCGGCAGTGTGGTTGAAGGTAACTCCAAATCTACGGACAATAGACAAAAGGACCGACATCAATGACATTTCCTCTCATGTAATCTTTGATTGGGTGTATTGTATCACCTGCAAATGGAAGATGATAAGGGCCACATGCTAAAAATGTATTTGAGAATAAAGTCAGAACATTTAAAAATGAATTTCAGATTTAAAGGCTATTGAGAAAATATCACGTGGCCCCAACCCTCTTTCCAGTTTTGGTAAAATATTGTTGTGCTTGGGTTCAAATGACTCCAATATATTAAGTTATGTTTTATTTTCAGACAGTTAATAATGTATCTATACTACAATATTCCCCATTCCTTGCCTTGATATACATGGACACACTCATTTTGTTATCACATACACTTATCACATGAGAAAGGAAAGGGAGAACCCCAAAAAGCATGATAGGGCCCCTTTAACTTACCTTGGACCGTCACGTTAAACTCAACAGTGATTGATCCTTTTTCATTGCTGACGTAACAGGTGTACAACCATTCATCTGCATGAGTTATACAGTTGATGAAGAAGACGCTGCCACTGGAGGGGGAAGGGATTCTTGACGGGGGCGTCAATGTATACGATGGTGGGGGGTTTCCCACAGAGCAGTTCAGCGTCAGAGGCAGTGGCGAGCCGTGAGCTTTATACCTATGCCCTCTGCCCCCTGCCCCCCACCCCTTCCCTCGAAAAAAGAAAAAAAAAAGAGTTATTACGTCACAGCGTATACTTCAGCGGAATATCAAAACAACGGCCCAGGGTGCAAAACGCATCAATGACAGCGACCCTCTACCACACAAAACAACACCTGTGAACCCAATTTGTGTTCTTTGACATTGAAAATGATATTGCATTGTGTTTGTTACTTTCGTTGCCGTTGTATGTCTTAAGTGTAATTTGGCATGCTTTTATTTTGAAGGCGAGTTCACGCTGTTGACAGGAAGTTGTTGTTGCTATGGAAACAAGAAAAGTTTCACAGCGGGCGGAACTTGTCATAAAGTCCGCGATAATAAAACCCACCCATTTAGAGGGAAGATATGATTGGTCAATTGTACTGTCATTTGACATTACTCTCTCGTTCAGTTACTATAGAGTGGCGAAGTCCCTCCCACTTACTTCCGGGGTATGGGACCTTATTTCGGAAAAATTATGCATTGAAGTCAATGGGGAGAGAAAACTTATCTTTCGATCCCGTTTGAATTGTGCCATGAATTACACATATGATGTTTGTCAATCTTAAAAAATCATTTCCATGTCAAAAAAGTCACAGTTTGTCGTAAAACTGTTGAAATATAAGACTATGAAAAATACGTAACTAGAAAGACTACAAATCCCAGAGTCGCGTAAGTGATGTCACAATTGTTTACCTCCACCATTCAGATACCTAAGATCAGCGCAATATAGATATAATCTATCTATATGGCGCTGGCTAAGATAAGATAACTTTAACAAGATGCCTGTGTGCTTAGTACCAGGTTGTTATTATACCAGCAATGGGTCTTGCTCGTTCTTTTGCTTCCCGTCTGATGAAACGACCAGGAGTGGCTTGATCAAGTTAGCTACCTAGCTAGTAGCTAGCACGTTAGTTAGCATTACAGCCTTGTCATTTTTATTAGCCTTAACATGAAGTAACATTAAGTAACCCAAAATGTTAAACAGTAAGAGTAGTAGTCATATTTCGTGAACCCTTTGAATAGTACTGTCACCGGTGTGATCATTCTATAATACACCATTTAATTCCGGGGGAGAAATGCTAACGCTAACGTTAGCCTCGGCGATCTTTTCTACTTCATGCTATCTGCACAAATGGTTGACATTAAACATTAAAACGATCAGGCAGTTCAGAGAGAATCAAAGGAAGGCAGGCAGGCAGCTTTGCATGACATTCTTCAGGACGTGTTTCATTGTGGTGATAGTCAATCGTTTGTTGACAAGACAGTAGTGACGGCCATCTTGGTGACGTGTGTGGTTGACCAGAGATGTAGTTCATTTAGCGTTTCACACAAACAAATGTGTTACTTCACAGTTTTACGACACATTTTTTTTTTTTTGACTTGCAAAATTATCTTTTAAATTGACAAACATCATATGTGTAATTCGTGGCACAATTCAAACGGGATCGAAAGATAATCTTTCTCTCTCCATTGACTTCAATGCATAACTTTTCCGAAATAAGGTCCCATGGGGCTCAACCGGAAGGGGAGGGACTTCGCCACTCTATAGCGGGCCCTCTGTGAATCGCAGAGAGGGCCAGACAGACAAGCTTCTTTCATGTAACCCCTACATTCAAACAGAGAATGAACAGGCAGATTCGAAGGATTTATTTAGTTGGAAATGTTATTTTAAATACAATTAAATCAAGTTTTTTTTCGGTAAAACTAATGAAAAATATAACAAAAATAATATTAAAAAAATATATATTTAAAAAATATATATATTTTTTTAATGTTTTTAAATATTATTTTTTGGAATATTTTAGGCCCTCACAGAGGGCCTAGAGGGCCCTGACGGCTCGCCACTGGTCAGAGGGTTTCCTTTTGTGATGATGATCGGAGGTGCCTCTGAGGCTTATCTGTGAGTGGATTGAGGAGGAAGAGACAGATACATTCAACATCTTTAATTAACTCAAAAAGCACAATTAAATTGACAAACAAGCACAATTAAAAATGAATTAGTTAGTAACCAAATTATCATCTAAGGCAGTGATTTGGGGGATTTTTTTTGCATAGATAATTGTTAGGAAAAATATCACTCGTCACCGGCTTGAGCTTCAATATCAGGATACATGTATTTATTATCCTTGCAAGAATGGAAGTAGTCATCACATACAGAGCATATGGGACAAAATAGTTTCCAGAACAGTGTCCTTCACATGCTGATATACAAGAGAGGGAGTTACACAGTCACAAGATGGAGGAATACCGGTTCAAAGCAGTATACAATGTTTAGTTCAGATTAGCTAAGGCCTGCGTAAGCAATAAACATGACAGTCATATGTCTATCTCCATAGAGGCTGAATCATCATGTTAATCACATAGCTATCATATGCCTAAAAAGTGTGTCCTGATGCTCTTCTAGGTAATCATACATCCGGTTACGTACACAGCTACGTAGGGCCTTTGTTATCATGTGCTACTCTGATATTGGAAGAGTACATTCAGTATTTTCCCAACAATGATTTTCCTAAGTTACTCTTTTTGTTCATCTACAGGTCGGTGTAACTTTTTGGGAGATGGAACTGGTTTGTTGTAGGTTTTTGTAATATCCATTTTCCCCAGCAGAGGGTCACCACTACCTCATTTTCTAAACATAACTTGCAGACACAGCATATAAATTCCTTTGTTTTTAGATTTTATGGAGGGCTTTGAGAAATGTAAGCTCCCCTGCAGTACACATGCATTTAGTCCCATTCAGAACACGAGGGCCCGTTCTCATGTCATCAAATGTCCCTCCTCGACTCCCCTCCTCGACTCCTATCCTCGAGACTAGTCCCGCCCACAGGAGATGCGAGCGGAGGAGCCGAGGAGGGGAACCGAGGAGAGAGGAGGGGAAGCAGCAGGCGGTTAGAGAAATGAGAACTCCTCTCCTCTGAGCGGTCATTTTAAAGAGACGTCCATTAATGATGACAGGAGGCACAGCAGCCCTCTGTCTGATGGACAGATGTGTTCATGACGACTTATATATTTACTTTTAATTCATTCACAGTGGCGGTATAATGAGACAATAACAGGCTACAGATGCGGACACACACCACACACACACACACACACACACACACACACACACACACACACACACCACACACCACACACACACACCACACACACACACACACACACACACACACACACACACACACATATATGTATATATTTATATAAATATATACAATTTCAGAATCAAACAGAGCACTCTCATAATAACGTAACACTATCAGAGACTGGATATATCCCCCCCCCCCCCTCTCTGGTCGCTACAATGAGGGAAATAAATGACGGGCCAAAAGTTTTAAATTTGGGTCATTCCAGAATTGGAGGACAATTTAGACACCAACATTTTTGAAAAATGAACCTTTCATTTTATTATTTTTTGTTAAGTATTTAGGAAAAACAGATAATAAACCATCAAAAAAAGTGATTTGCCCAGCTAAGGCATCAAATGTATATTTTCCAATGAAGAATTAACCCTGTTACTCTAATTATAGTAACAAGGTTTGCAAGTAACAGGGTTGAAAATCAATGCTAATTTTTGCTTTTACCTCAGGAATTAATGCTAGCTGCACAATGTAATGCTATTGTCAAGGAATGGACACACTTAGATATTTAACTAAAGAAAGATACATTTGAAATTAATTTGTTTTAGTCTCATAATTTGAGTAACAGGGTTGCGTTTGTATGAGTGCCACACTCCTTCAAGAGTGACAAGATTGGAAATATATTACAAATAAAAGAGAGGACTTAGTTTTGGTCTACCCATGGTAGTAGCACATGGCTTGCTGATGTCCTTGCCACTGTGTCATGCGACAAACAGTTTTTTCACTTCCTCTGCCAAGCTAAAAAGGTTTCGGTAACAGGGTTGCGCGCATGTTGAGGGACACACCTTCTGTGCAAAATTACTGTTATTTAAAATGTGTTTATGATTTAACAAATTGATTTTACCATTACAAGACACATATATCAATAGAATAATACCAAAAAAGTAAATAAAAACCCTATTTTAAATGTTATATTTGACATGCAAGTTGGTCACCAAGAAGCTGGGACAAGAGAAAAGGGCAATTTTAGGGGGTGTTCGAGAGCTATTTGATATTTTAAATAATATTTTGAAACCACTTTTTCTACAACTTTATATGCATCTGTCTCAAGACAAGTATATTTAACACAACAAGTGCATGTCTTAGCTTTTTGGGCATGGATATTAGGTTTTTTATATGGGGGACATGAAATGTCCTCCAATTCTGGAATGACCCGAGGACACCAAACCAACTGAGACCTGTCTGTCCGCTGCATCTACGCACACACTGTACCACACACACCTACACCACACACACGCACCTACAGCTCCTAAAGCATATAATCAGGCTACAGCCGTTGTGTATTTTATTATGTGAAGCACTAAAGGGTTTTAGAAAAATATCGACTTTGTTTGTAGATATCTACTAAACTAAAGCAAATAAAGAGAGTAGGCCTGTTATACTGAGTGATATGATATATATTATACACACTGCTCTGCTTTCTGCACGGACCTCACAGCTGTTCTCACTGTAAACATCGCGTCGCGATGAAAGCAGTTAATAAAATAATATCCAGGGGATGCATGCAGAGCTGTCATTGGCTGAGATAAGTCCGGCCGTGCGTCTCGACCATAGGTCTCGACTCTTTGAAATATCACTGTTGCCGGAAATGCATCCACGAAGGAGCCGTGGAGGACCGTGGAGGACCCATCAGTGTATCCTCGGTTATAGCTCCTCCAGAGAGCCTCCTCGACGCTCGATGCTCGGTCCTCGATGTGCATTTCGAGAAATGAGATGTCCTTCAACATGGCGCGCTAAAATTCATTTCCGGGTCACTACCGGAGGACCGAGGAGTCGAGGAGTCGAGGAGTCGAGGAGGGACATTTGATGACATGAGAAAGGGCCGAGGTAGAACTGCACTCAGCCCCTTGTGGCCGAAACGAGTATTACAACAACAGACATGCAAAAGTAAAATGGCAAATACTTACTTTCCTGTTTTGCAATTGGGCTTATATAATGGATCAACCAAATGTATTTGTTATCTCACTTGCCTTTCAAGGCTTCCGTAAAGAAATGTAGATCGATTAATCACTTTTATATATCCTAATATCATAACTTACGCATTTGCATCAGGGTGCTTTACAGACACCCTCTGTCCTTAGAAACGTGCAGCAATAAATCTAAAACTTGCCAATGAAACCTCCAAAACATATTAAAATGACAGCATAAACAATGCAAATAAATGTAATGATAATGTGGACATGAAAAAGAAGATTATTATAATGCATAAATAAATAAGTAGCCTAATAATAATTTAGTCGGACTCACTGTGGACAGCAGCAGTGAGTTTCTCTGACTCCACCACTGGAGGAGGCTGTGGTCCTTCAGCTCCCAGCTCCAGCTTTGCTTCACACCAGAACTCGACTCCATCATCTTCTTTAGTGGAGGTGATGTTCCAAGTGAAGACCTCACTCACTGGTGTCGGGTCGTCTTTTTTAATCTTACTGCTCTTTAGTTCACCCAGTGCCGTCTGTCCTCTGTAGAAAGTCACTCTGAGGTTTTTCACAGGAGCAACCTCCTGTACTTCACACTGCAGAGTGTACTGCTGACCCGCAAACATCCGCACATCAGGGTGAACGCTAAAGGAAACATTATCTGGAGGCTCTGTGGAGACAAACGGACACATTCAGTATCTCCATGAAAAATAATTAAAACACCTACACTATATGCAGAGCAGGAAGAAGTACTCAGATCTTGTACTTCAGTAGAAGTACCAGAGTGTAGGAATACTCTGTTACAATAAAAGTCCTGCTTTCAAAATGATACTTGAGTAAAAGTGCAAAAGTATTATCATCAAAATATAGTTAGCGACAGTAAAAGTAGTCATTGTGCAGATTGGTCCATTTCAGAATAATATATATGATATGTTTTATAATGATTGATCATTAAAGTGTTCTCAAAGCTGGTAAAGGTGCAGCTAGTTTGAATGACTTTGTATACTGCAGGGTAGCTTGTGGATTTACTCCAGGTGGAACTAAAGTCTGATTTAACACTTGATTATATTTCACATAATTCATCATCCAAATCTGTAAAGTAACTAAAAGGTGTTAAATAAATGTATAAGTACACAATTTACCTCTATGTTGTGGAGTAGAATAAAAAAATAAGGGCAGATGGTAAAGATGGAGCTCATTTTAATACGTTTTCATCACTTATTGTAAGTCATTTTACATAAAAGCATCAGCTAAAGGAAATGCATTTTTAAATAAGTGTACTGCCATGAATCCTAATTCATAATGGATCATCATTATTCATTAGATATAATATATGTTTCTGGTTTTTGTATATTTTAATACATTTAAAACATATATTTTGTATTAATAATATGAACTTGTAAAGTCAAATTTGGAGGAGTAAAAAGTACAATACAAGCATCCAAATGTACAAACTGAAGCCAAGTAAAAGTACCTCAAAAGTGTACTTAACTACACTTAACTTAATATAATAGATAGATGAACTCAGACGATTGCTAACAAACATCAGGTAGGATTTTCTGTGAAATGGCAAGATGGGTGGGAAGGGGGAGGGACGGGGTGGCATGGGAAAGGGATTCCCTATATTTTTTCTTTGTCTTTTCTTTTTCTTTTTGTATTATTGTCTATATCATTTGTATCTGTGTATATAAGTCCCTCTGTGAGGGCAACAAAAACAAAACAATAACAAGTTGGTCACAAAAAAAAGTGTACTTAACTGCAGCACTGCAGTGACTGTACTAAGTGTATTTCCCACCACTGTGTTAGATTATAGTTGATGAAAATAAACAGTTGTTGTGACTCACTGTAGACAGTTATAGGCAGGTCGCTGCAACACTGCACAAAAGTAGTGCCATTGGTATAATAGCACGATAGAGAATTGATCCACTCAGTCATTTTCTTGACCCTCCATGTAATCTCAGTTCCATTTTTTGCCAAGCATCCAACAGGGTTTTCGATACCAAATTCAGTGACAATGCATCCAGGCTGACACACGGAGCAGAGGGCGGAGGTCGGCTTCCCAAACTGCACCACCAGTCTGGATGGAGTGAACCGAGGTTTATCTGCACAGTTTTTATCTGTAACACACATTTCATAATATCGGTTTAAACATCTCAATGTGAAATTAGCTATCGGATTACACTTCTAAAGCACTCGACCCCGTCATACATCCTTATATGTACGACATGTATCTGTACTACATGGAGTAGTTTGTGTTTTGATGAATCCAAGATATTTGCATGTTCAAGTTCTAGTGTATTATACATTAAAAAGCTTACATTCAAATGCAATTAAATGCATCCCACCTGAGCCTTAAAACTATAAATATGTACCATAAATGATATAACATATAATACCAATAAAGAAAATACTAAAACAATAAGAAGACGTCACTTTTGCTTGATCAAATATAATAAGGGGGTTTTATCCATCACTACACAAGAACTAAATACTTGAAAAAACGACACAAAAAAACAGTGTGATTTTATAAAGGCAAAATATAATTATAGTTCAACATAAAAAATACAGGGAGAAGTGTGAATCCCCCAAAGAAAACAACAGATAGAAATCTCTTAACTTACCACAGGTGTGCTTATTGGAGCTGGCCAGGAACGTCATCACAGAAACAACCAAAAGAATCAAATGGAAAAACATTTTTCCTAGTTATTTTTAAGTAAGAGAAAAACCATCAGACGTCGAACATGAACCCCAAAGGCAGTCGGGAGGTGAAATGAGTCCACTCCGTCTTTTGGTTTTCTTTTGAAGTGACTCGAACAATGCTGGCAGCGCAGCCTGTTTTCACATCACACATCCTGTCTACGTTTATTTTTTCCTACTGTATTTTGAAAGTGAAAGTGAAGCATTTCAACGTTACATGTCTCCAGATTCAATACAAAAACAAAACATTTAATCTTGTACCTCTATTATCTTTTCTTTATTGCCTGTCCTGACTCTAAATAATTTACCCACAATGCCACTTCTGCTGTAACACTATAGAGGAATTCTGATTCTGATAGGAAAGAGATAACATGAATCTCATAAGAGGTTGAATTACTTCAGGGCAGTTAACTCTAGGAAAATCCAAGAAAGGACCGAAACTGAACACTTGTCAACATAAATGCTCCATTCACCTGTATTATAGCTTATAGCCAGCAGAAAACAATAAAACAAATAAAATAGTGTTTTTTAATTTTGTTTGATTATTTAAAGAGGCTCTATTTTCCTTTTTTGGTTTTCCCTTTCCTTTAGTGAGTTATATAGGTTTGTGTGCATGTAAATGGTCTGCAAAGGCTAAAATCCATGTATTCCCTCCAGAAGGAGTTTCTCTCCCGCACACTGCCCTCCCGCACACTGCCCCCCCGCCTGAAACACCTCCATTGGACACCTTTGTTTACTTCTGTAACGTAACGACATCACTATGTAACACTCACGATACTGGCTAGCGCTCCAACACATTGTACGTGATAGGCTAAGGGGCGGGACATCTCTAAGCGGTTGACCAATCACAACAGAGCCGACCAGCTAACCAATCAGAGCAGGGCTCTGGTTTCAGACAGAGGGTGAAAAGGACAGGCAGTATGAGAAAAATAAAGAGCTTTTTGAACATGAAAGCATGGAGACATGTCAGAGGAGAGACAGACACTAAATACAAATATGAACCTGAAAATGAGAATTAAACCTCTCTGTAAAGTGTCAAACAAAGTTGATTTAGAATTGTTTATATCACTATGCATTCAAACAAAGTTATTATCAAAGGAAATGTATTTATGCATGCACACAACTGACAGGCTTGGAGAGTAAACAGGAAGTATTTGCACCACCCTTCCTCACATTCAGCTCTGGGTTCATTAGTACCTTTAGGACCTTAACTAAACCTTCCACCATGTGACAACACGTAGAGAAATATTGATCTGTGCACAAGGCACAACATATCTGCAGGCCTTTAGGGGGTCTAGATACAAGGAATACAAGAGAACGTTTGGTACTTTGGTGCGTCAAAGTAAAGGACGTTTTGTGCATATAATTCACAATTGCAGAAGCACAGCGGCGGCCGCCCCCCCTCTTCCCACATTAAAAAAAATAAATAAATAAAAATAAAATATATATATATATTTAAAAAATATATTTTTAATTTTAATTTAAATTTTTAATAAACAAGGTAAATATTATATAATTGGTATCAGTAAAATGTATAATCTACAATCAAATCTCGTTTAAAATTGTGTTACGATGTCTAAAGTTACTGATAAGTCACATGTTTCCTGCCTGGCCTTGCGAGAGGGAGTAATGATACACGTATCATTACTCCCAGACGAGAGTGCAGCAAGTGCAGCAGAAGCCAACTGTTGCTATCTTTAAACTATGCCGCCGAAACATAATTTCAGCCAATCAGCGTCGTCAAATCTGATGGTCACAGGGCTCCTACCTGAGCGCCCGGTGCAGTCTGTGAGTTGTTTGGACTCGTATCCAAGGAGACAAAACAGGAAGCTGTCATACACTCTGGAAGCTACCATTAGCAGCTAATGAAAACTCAGTTTTTGACATAAAAATGGAATTATGGATCATCAATAATTTTTTCAAAGTGACAGACACATTGGATTCAGCTGCGTTTTTCTCGTTTTTGATCAGAATTGTTATTCTGCAAAAGGTGAGCATATCTCCGTGTTTTGCTACCTAAAGCTACGTCGTGTGATGTCTGTATTTGCTTCCTCTGTCGCGAGTTCTGATCGCTCAGTGATGATACTTATATTTCTAGAATCTGTGGAATGTCAGCTTGTTAGCACAGTTTGCTGTAGAAACTATGTCCAGGACAAGGTGTTTGGAAGTTTTGGAAGATTCATAGCTAACCACACTGAAGTTATGGAGGTATTGATCAGTCTTCTCATATTTTTAAGCCTCAAATTGTCCTTCCCCCCCCCTCCAACATCACCAGAAGTCATAATTTAGGCGTCTTTTCTCAAAAAAATTCCCCCTAGTATTGTTTGATCACCATTTCCACAGCCCCACCTAAAATATTTTCCACCAGCCGCCACTGCAGAAGCAAACATTTCTCCCCTTCCCGGCAATCTTTATCGCTCAGCTTCCTGAGAGCCCTCCCATGAGGGTGTGTGAAAGTTCCTCCACAAGTTCGCCAGTTATTCTTCACCGGTGATTATACAGTAACATCTGCGGAAAGTATTTCAATTCTGATTTCATTACTGTTCTTATATTCTGTGTCTCTCTCAGGTTTAGAGACAGAGGAAGGCAGAATATCACAGGAGCAATCATGGGCATATTTAATGAAACAGGGTGTGAGTCTTTGGAAAAGAGCAGCAGGGCGACACAATAAGAATAGGAAGAGAGTCTGATTTGATCAGCGTTTTGGGAAAGGTAGGAGTCTGTATGTCTCGGATAACAAAACCACCTGTAGTGGAAGTGTAGTGATTCAGACAGTGTTCCCTTAGAAGCTTCCTTTCCATCCTTGAGTAAACTGACCACCTCTGACATATGTAATGAATATCTCCTTTATATTTAGTGCATAGCATAACAGTACAGAAACTACTGATAAACTGTGAAATTACCCAAATAGTGAACACAATCATGGTGTAATCCAGTGGTTCTCAAACTTTTTCTGTCAGGCCCCCCCTTTGGAGAAAAAAAAAAGTTGGGCCCCCCCCCCCCCCAACACAAATAGTCACGTAATGGGCCAAGTTAACATTTATTAAAATACATCAATATGAACGTGAGCATTCCTTTGCTAGAACAGTGATAATAAAACAATGCTCCATAAGTCTGTGTGGTCAAAAAAAAAATACATAATACAATTGTGCAATACCTTTGCTAGAACAATAAGTTATAATACTTTGCCACTTTGCAATCTGTGCCAAAAAATGAAAAGAAAGAAAATGCTGATATTAGGCAAAAAAGTGTGTCTTATCACAGGTGGCTGCAATGAGTTTTGCACTGCACATTTCTTCAAAACGGGGTTGAAGGCTCAGTGGCGGCGCCGTTTCATAGAGGGTGCTCAAACATTTAGGGTTTCCCATTTAGGTACCGGGCGCTACAGTGGAATGTTCTACTGCAACACTCCCCACACATATACACAATGTACCCGCGACTGTTACAATGAAGGCTCGATAATCAGCTCACGGCATATAGGTGTAAGCAGGGGTAAAATGCTATTTTTGGGGAGTGGACCTAACCTCCTCTAGGGGGGTCCGGGGGCATGCTCCCCCGGGAAGATTTTTTTTAAAATATTGAAGTTAAAAGCATCAATCTGGTGCACTTTGAGAGCAACATTAAGAGATCTATGGATACATCTCTCAACACCCATATGAGACAGAACTGTAAACAGATTTACTTTTTCTTTATGGATATTTTAGAAATCACCCTTTTAAATTTATTTTTTTTTTTAATGTCCTATAGTATTTCATACCTGTTTTTAATTTATTCTCTTATTTTTGTATAACTATAATGATCATATAAACGCGTGCCTCGGAAATAATTGTTTACATTAATCGTGACCAAAACGTTTGAGACCCGGCCACTATCTCGCTAGCACCAGAAGCTAACAACAACGATCTCCGGTACCGGTGCGCTCTCTCTCTCTCGCTCGCACACAAAATGGCTCGTTCGACACCATAGACTGTATATATAAATGGACGTAGGGTCCGTGACGTCACCCATAGGATTCTGCAGAGTTGCCGAGAAGCCCTTAGTAGGCGGAGTCGGCCACTAACGGCTCGACAGTGACGTCTGAGTCTAACTCCCGCCTGCTCCAGCCTGCTCCAAGGGCAAAGAGGCGGAGCCGAGGCGGGACCTTCTGCCTCCAGCTGGGAAGTAACAGAGCTAGCTCAAGCTAAGAAGCTAAGCTAACATGGTCCCCATCAGCACACTGCCGTCACATTTTACGTTTCTAAGGTAAGCGGACATGAAACTATTCAGCAAAACTATAAATAATAATCTAAGTTATTGAGTTTTTAGCATAATACTTCAGAATCTTAAAATCCCTTAACGTTTGTATGCAATGTGCTAAATGCAACACTGGAATCAAGCAAATATTAATATGTTTGCATGACATTAGTTATTTATATTTTGCTATCACTTAATTATACGTTTAATACATTTAAATTAAGCTAAGGTGCATGTGATGGTAGCTAGTTAGTGCTCTTACCTGTGAGGCCTTCTCCAAACCGCATTATAACCAGACTGTATCATTAAAACTATAAGTACCAGTTCTAGATCCTTGACTTTAGACAAACAATTCAAAAGACAAAATGTATTTAAAGACCAATCTTTATTTGAAGGTGCCTCTTAACCTGGGATATTAGTTATACAGTAATAGTATTGACAATCTAAAAAAAACTGAGCAACTCAACAGTCAACTTTATATTTCTTATTGTCTAAAGCATTTATTATTTTCATTTTCCCCTCTCATATTCAGTGTGGACGGATTGAGACAGCGTGGTGTCCAGAGAGCTGCAGAGACTTCAGGGAGAAACCTCCGTGTGATGGATGTCCTGTCTGTTGGTTTGGAGAGGACTGAGGGTCTTTCCTCTGTGAGGAGGACCAGGCCTGATGGAGGAGCCCATGCATAGCTGATACCACCTGATCAGGCCTTGTCTGTCACTTTATTTGACTAAATGTGTTTACTTATACATTTAATAGGTTTACACCTTCTGTCCATATGTGCTTTTTTATTTAAAACATGTTTGATTAACTTTTGGTTCAGATTTCAATAAATTGAATTTGTATTTGCACTTCTTTTGTCCATTATTCTTACTGAAAATG